GGTGCGCCACAAACGATGTTACCTCCATTACATTGGACATTTGCCACTCTGTTCCTTGCACGGCACCGGAAAGAAGGGGCATAAGTTGAGACTCGTGGAACATTATCAAAGATGGCGTGGAAGTTTTCTCTCAACCGGCAATGTTTGGGTACAAATGATGGAAGAGAAACTAACTGAACTTAATGGCAGAGATTATGTTTCACCGACAGATTTGGAAAGCAGCCACCAGGGATATTATTGGAGCCTATTAAACCGGTGACTGTGGCACCCCATAATAATGACTGTCGTACAACCTAATTGGTTCGTAAAACACTTTCCCATATTTCATATGCACATTTGCTCTGATCTCCGTCACGACAAGATCAGCCAAAAGCGCATTGGTTGTTTTAGTGCAATGTTCTATAAGTCATTGGCCACTATGGAGTAGCTACTTGAATGATTTCCTTCTTCCTTCCAACAAAGAGGACTAAGTTTTACTTACACATGCACTAGTCTGCTTGTAGCCTCCTTGGTGAAGTTCTAATATCGCCTAAAACCGCCAGGCAACCTCAAATTCTCAAGATCTTTTCCGAGGCTCATAAACAGAATTAATATCTGTCATAGAGTAAACATAAACTAGACGTATAGCAATATAAAACAACATGAACATAAAGTAAAATTGGGCAGAAATCTATCAGATACACATAATTTTATCAATATTGCACAAGTTTGCTCGCCTGGGTTCTTATAAGATTGAAATGGCATTTCAGTAGGTCATTTTCTCGCGATTTTGTTTAAGCGCTCCTACTGTTGTAGTACGTTCTCTTAGTGATTTTTCATTTTTCCTTTCATATAATTTCAAGTACCTCTCCAGGTTCTATAATTTTATTGAAAGCGTTTTATGGTTATTCATTGATTCACTAAATGGCTTATTTACCTCTTCATTTCCAACCAAGTTTTTCTTCTGACAGAGGAGCAACAGCTTCAGAGGAATTTTCCCACAGGACCTGATCCTTCCCCAATCAAGCAGGCTTTCCTAGCCGAATTGTAGGCTGAGTTGCAGCTACTCAATGCGGTCCCGCCATCTGTTACTGGATGCTTTCCTTGGCCGCATTCCTGTGGCCTTGCGAGGAGAGTCTGTCTTACGGGTCTACTTTTTAGCATGCAAATCATATGTTCCAAAATTCTCTATTGTGGCCTCTCAATAAGGAAATCAGCCCTCACAACGAAAGGTATCTTGAACTGTGTAGAACCGCGTCAAACAGCAAATCTTCTAAGACACCTCAATTAGGTGTCTTGCATTTTTGATCGAACTCTTTTAGTCAATATCCAGCAGTCACGTGCATGGGTGAGGTCGGTACGCAGACAGATCTAAAGAACTAGCGTCGCATTGATGCTCAGCAATTTGTTCATCACTGCGAACGGATTCAACTCCAGCACTACGGAACTGTCTTGGACGATTCGTTCGTAAATCTGCTGTAGCTTGTGCCTGCTGCCTGTATAACTTTGCGTTTTTAACCATTGAAAGTAAATGATAGAGTTTTTTAATTGAACTCGTTTTTTCGAGCGTGTTCAAGCCTGTTCAAGTTCGAACACAAACTACAAAATCTATGATTATTTGATTTAGTTTTCCAGTAATTTCTGCATTCCTGCAAGTAGTATTACAATTAGATACGGTTTTCTAACAGATTATCATTGAGGGCTCGAAAATATGTTAATTAATCTGGCTTTGTTTAATTTATTTGGCAGAAGATGACATTGCGTTACCCCCTGCGGAACAAAGGAACGGGGAACAGTGGCGCCGTTCATAACCGAGCATTATATCCTTACCATCGTCTCTTCGACGTCTACGTCGTACAAAACGACGTTGATGTCGCTCTCTTCCGCCTGCGACTCTGGTTCGGTGGCCTCGGTATTCGCCTCATATTTTTCGACGTCAATCTGGACCACCTCCAACTCATTCTTTGAGCCCGTGTCCTCTTCCTCTGTCTCTCTAACCGCCGGTTTCATGGACTCCTCTGTGTACTCGCCTTCGCTTATTACGTCGTCCAGACTGTTCGTCGATACGGCGGTCAATTTCGGAGCCCTTTCGTGTCTGTCCTCTTCGATTTCAGTCACCTGGTACTCCGTGGCTTCTTCTTCACGGTTGGCGAGTGACGTTTCCTCCATTTCCTCGAGGCCGGTTTCCCTGTGATCAGTGAACAGAATTTCCGACTCTACCATTTCTGACTCGTCACGGTGCTGGCTGTCTGAAATGACCTTCTTGCCTTCGGTTGACTCTACATCTTCGGACATTTCCTGATTCTTTTCGGTTTCGTCTTCGACATATCCAACATCGACGTTAACCGTTGTATACTCTTTATAATAATTGTCATCTTGCTCTTCTGCGGCAGCTCCTGTCTCAGCTTCTTCTTCTTCCCCAACACTTTCAGAATCTTCACCAGACTCCTCTTGGTCTTCTTCCTCTACCGACACTTCCGAGTGAAACTTCTGCGAATTTTCTTCAGCTATGTAGGCCATGCTAACCCTGAAAAATGCAAAATGTAAAATCAATATAAACATAACCAGTAAATATCGATATGACGGAAATTGGTCATGAGCTACCATTCTTGGAA